TCCTCATGAGGTGTTTCGACGCCATGTTTTGGCAATTTTGTCAAACTATTCGTATGACTCAATGGTTTCTTAACACCAGTTATTTGTGACATCGATTGCCCGGCTATCCGCATATCGGGTCTAACCATAGGGCCGGGCAGTACACTCTTGGCAGTGGCCACCACATGACCGGGTTGTGACTGTTGGGCCACACCGTCTTCGAACCTAAGGAACGGCAGATCGAGATCTTCCTGTTTGTCTGTAATCGACATTTTCAGCGATTATGAATGGATTTGTGAAATACTGATGCCTTTTGGGGAACAATACCTAGAAATGTGCGGAAAACCCATTCGGATATCTGAGAGCCAGACTTGGTTTCCGAGAAGTGACTCAATTCCTTGTTCAGCATACGCTTGAACTTAGAGGTGGCCATATCACCGACCGACCGGTGCGACTGAATCGTCTCCAACTGATCCAAACACCAGTCCAACTCCTCCAGAGTATCGACCGCTAACTTATTCACTCCATCTTCAGTCAACGGCTGCTGTTTTGACTGCAGTTGTTGTTGAAGTGATGTATACGACGGACGTCTGTTCTCTTTAGGCCTGTCATCACATCAACCATACAATCGGTTACTTATGTATTCATTATCGCATACAATATATCATACATTTGGCTACTTATTTAGCATGGAAGTGCTTTCAATTCACGTCCATTTAATATAAATTAATTCTAGCAAATTCACTGTAATTTAAATCGATGCCATGACTTACCTATTGACGGGGCAGGGTATGTTTGTTATGTGGATATAGTTGTTTCGCACATTTCTAAGACTGGCCAGAATTTGTGCAAAGGGTGTCACTATTAGGTCCTCTCCATGTCTGCAACCAAATAAGAGCTCAGTTTAGAAATAGTCATTTCAATCATTTTTAAATAAAATATAATTAAGGAAAGTAAACACAATTACTGTTAAATACCTATTGTAATAAATTTTATTATAGTAATATCAATAAATTGCATGCAACATATAAATTTAGTATTTTATCACAATCACATAATACACCTGAATAACTTTTATTATAATTGATTGATTGGAAATCACAGATTATTTTAAAAACGGATTATATAAAACAATGTATATAATAATTATAAAATATGTGATACAATTTAATACACAGTAGCAAATGTAAAGCGGCTTAACGGTTTTAAAAGATTCACTATAATAAATTGACTAAAATAAATTGATTGCAATTCCAGTGCTCTCGAAATTGATAATTAATTAGTTTAAAATTTAAATATTTCTTAATATTCATAGCAGTTTATTGGGTAAAATGTATATTTTAAAACTAACTTTCAGTTTGGATAACCGTAATTTTACGCGAAAGTGAGTCAAATCTATTATCGATCATATTATTGAACAATTGGTGAAATTTTCACAGCTGTCAGCCTTTTATACCAGAATTTTTTTTGTCTCAATGTTTACACCAAATAAATATTAGTTCTGTTATAGTGTTTGATAATTCAGTGAAACACATAAAAAAGATTAATATTAAGCTTCGAGCAATGTAAAACATAACAAAAATTTTTCAATTAATAAAAATGCAATAATAAGACAATAAAATTTAGGAAGGGCATATATCCTACAGTAGCATTAGTATAAGTATATGGTTTATACTGTACTTTGAAAACTACTATGTTTATACTGCATTTATATACTCTGTACAATTGAGAGCTCATTATTAACGATTCTAATTAGTATAAAAGAAAATTTTCATTTTATTTAAATTGAAATTTTGTTTAATTGATTAAAATTGTGAAATCTTTTTGAGCTCATAGAAAGAGACTCTAATTTGAAAAACTCTAATTTTATTATTGTAATCATTGATTTAATTTTAAGAGCGAATTAAGTGAACTATAATCTGATGTAATCATTAAAATTCAGTGGAAAAGAGTCAAACCATTTGAGTACCAAAACAGACATTTATTGTCATTAATTAGATTTATTTTTAAATTAAAATACTTGAGTTCAATGCTACTGAAATAGTGATGTATTTAACTTTAAACTCATATAATATTAACTCCATTTGAGTGTGAAAT